CGGAAATTAAGAGTCCTCTCAAATCTTCGTACATTCGTGCTGTTCTGTTCGTTCGTTATGTATATTCGTACATTCGTGCTGTTCTGTTCGTTCGTTATGTAAAATGTTGTAGAGATAATTGAATTCGGGAGGCAACATATTCATTTACAACAACAATATTCAATGATTGCGATATGAATTGTTTTAAAGTTATGTTTTTTTGTTTTCTATGTCTAGGATATTGATGCAATGGCATTTTATATTACTGATACATTAATTATGTCTACATCCTGCTGTTTCTGAATAAACTGAAAACTTTATTAGGAAACATTCAGAAACATTTGAGAATAACCTGGATCCGAATAACCTGTATGCATTTTCTTTTGACGGATTTGCTATTATTAGTGATGTTTCTATCGTTAGTGCTGCTTAAACATAAATTCAGTGCTTAAAACACTGTTACTATACACATATTTTTAATATACAAAAATACAGCGAACCGGCATTAATCAGGAGGAGGAATCGCATCTGAATAATTTTTTAAATCGGCCCATACATGAATTGTCTTTTAAATCGACATTGTAGTTTAGCCCTTCCAACGAATATTATTGAGCTTATAAAAACAAATCGGCCAAGTAAAACAAGACACAATAATGCTGTTTTGATTGGGTCCATCCCCATCCCCAATCGGCTTCTTACCTCTCCGAATGCTAGACAGTTTAAACCAGAAACATCAATTACTTCTGATGGACTTAAAGCAATCAGTAGATATTCAATTTCCCCGAATCCATTTGAAATTTTTAATGCATATTTTCATCGGTTCGCGTAGCGTCCGATCGACACAGAAGTGCCATTCTCTGAAGCAATTTGCATTAAAACTGTAATTTGAGTCACGCAAGCTCCAGTTATTATTGCGGGCCGATAACGCTATTGGCTATTTTTTAACTAATATTCTTCAACGAAATATTTTAATGTTTTGAAATTTTTTTTAAAACATATGACGAAGAACAGAATATTTTCGGACAATATTAAATGTTGAAGATTTTGGGAAATATGTATCATGCTGGATTTATTTCGGTTGGATTCATTCAAAATGCAAAGGCAATTATTTTTGGTACGCGAAAAATGCTTTCAGCAAGACTTGCGCACACGTGTTTGATTCATTTTCTGATCTGCACTGGATGCACCATCTGCTATCTCGAATAAACTTCATTCAAAATTATCCCAGAATGTGTCAGCTCCTCGAATTGCGAAATTTTGTAGTTATAATATTTGCAATCTAATCGCTTTGTTCATTTTACATTCACACGGCAGCATCAAAGCCTGGCTAATACCATTCACAGCGTCCTCAAATCCCTTGAAGCGATTCCCTTTGTTGTTGTTTGATCGGCTGTGCTGAGCTTGTCATGTGCATTCTGCTGCTCAACTCGAGCGTTATGATTGAGTGTTACTGAGCAACTCTTACTTAATAAACACCACGCAGTTCAGTTCCTCTCAAATAAAATTTTTGTTTATAAAGCTAATTTATTCGGTGCCGATCGAATTCTACAGAAATAATCAGCTTTATTTTTGTCCATAAGCCGGATAAATTTTTTCTTTTCTTATATTACAAATTTTAGCTGATCAGATGCCGACTGATACCTTAAAGTTCCCCGTCTTGCACCATCTATAAACCTAACGTGGACCGATTGTCTGCTCAGTGGACTGTTCCATAGGGACGACGCTGGTATGTAAGCTGCAACATATATTTAGCGACATTATTTAATCTTAATGTACTACCATCGTTCACTTATAATATAATTTGTTCAAACTATTCCACTTTGCTTAAAAGAACATCTTATCTTAAATCCAAATCATAACTGTCCCTGTAAATAATTTCCACCGGATAAGAAACAGTTTGTTATATTATATGATATTCTGAGCTTGGGGTATACATTTAGGGTATATAATATTTAGCTATAAGTCGGCACTCCTTTGATTCTATGTCATATTTTCCTCTCCAGTATCGACAATAAAATACAAGCTCAATATTAAGAGAGCGTCCGGAAATTCACGCCATGGCATGTAAGGGATTGTCATTCTGCATGACCAAGCACCTCCACTTTACTATAGACAAATCCGAGCGCGTGCTATTCTCTCGAGTGCATCGGTAATAGACTGAAAGTTTTTCAATCGTCCGCCATATTCCCCGCTAGATCAAGCGAACCGTAAACTGAATGACAGCGTGCGCCCTCCGTGGACTTTATAGGAATGCAGACTTTATACTGAGGACCTCCGACATTCCATAAAGATAGTTTTATTTCGGGTCCGCAGACAATAAACGTTCTATCCATTGTCCCGACATTTTATTGTCTGTACATGCAATTTTTATGGCATTTTCTTTAATTTATTTATGTGAGTTAATTCAATTTAATTTATTTATATGAGAATACATGTACATTAATTTATTGTCGTCGGTGAATATAGCTTTGGAGGAGTTCAAACTCATCTTAAACAATGTTTTATATGAGTTCCAACTAATCTAATTTATTTCACCCGATATATAAATTATTAGCGTGGGACAACTAACCAATATTCACGCTCTAATTTGTATAAGTTATATTCATTGATTAAAATGGCTACAATTAATTATTCCAATCAATTTGGGTTAAGCGATCAACACCAAGTGCAATCAGGCTGCAGCATGAACTTTGCTGTAAAATATTCATCTTCGCGCGATAAAACTTTCGGCTTAATAATCCGTCATTGGACCTCAAACCTCGACAATTCAGTTACAAAAGACCATTCAATCATGGCCTGCACCGTGTTGTGCGTGAATTTAATCACTTGCTTCGATAAGGAACGCGAACCAATTAAGGCGGAGGCTTCGAAAACACGGACGCTATCGACGGAAGCAATCTGCCTCGATAATGCACGGAGATTGACAACGAGCGGCCTCCTGTGTTGCTGCAGTCAAAGCCTGCGAGCTGCACAGCTTCTCGTCTGGATCGACGCTGCTTCGAGTGACGGTCCATTTAACAGGCAAAGAGAACACGACGCCGTCAAATGGCAGCCTGTCATGGTCTGCTAGTCTCAGAGTGGCTAAAAGTTGCTGTAGATTTTCATGTTTTGAAGTCTGGGTTCAAACATATTGGTATGAATGATGATGTCGAAGCAGGATTTTGGTGATGTAATGACATTAATTTTGAATAGAATTTCTTCGGTGAAGATCTCCCATTATCATTCAATCTCGAATATAATTCATTGTCAGTGAACAAAGATAATTATAATTTAAATTTAAGATTATTTGAAAAATCACTCTGGATATTTACTTAATTAATTTAGTGTTTGCTAAAAAATTCCGTGGGCGATTTTATCAGAACTCCATCATTACGTCGGTTCTTGACAAAGTCTCTAGTATAATTATATGTTTTCTGTTAGAACCATCAAAAGGCAAAACTGCTTTAATTCATTCAGTGATTCACTATTTAAGTCTGGTCGTGTTCATAACTTGTTAAATAATTGATGCGAAAACTTTTCTCTCGCTTGTATGAACTCCATCGAATTCCGTCAGACGCAAACTTGTGTCTGGCGGAATCTGATTTAACGAGCGCCGGATATTTTCCCGAACGTTGGTGGGGTAATCTCTTGCGCTCTTTAAATCTTCATCTCTTTCAAGTATTTAGAAAATCCCGCAAATCGTCAAAGATCCAGAAACGGCACGACTCATGAGCTATTCGAATTGTTTTCATTTCGAGGGAAGCTCAGTCGAGAATTGCTTTTCAATTGCCAGCATTTACCGAAGTCATGCATCAGCGACTGAACAAACTTTGCGCTTCTCCGAGGAAAATATTTCGAGTCACTAAATACTTCTCGAATAAATACTTCGCTCGCACACTCCAGATGACAGAAATTGTTCTCAATTAAAATTCTACGAGTGCCTGTCAAGATGCATAAATCCATGCGACTTTTAAAATTTGTGAATGTCTGCAAGGCTATGAATTCCCTTGAAAGATTAACCCTGAAATCAGGTAGTCCGCAAATAATATCACCTTTCATGCAAAAAATACTAATTAATAAACCAAAATAATGTTCACGAAAAAATAGCCAATTAAAAAGGAAACCTTCATATAAAAATTGATAAATATTTGAAGAAAAAAATTGCACGAAATCACCCTGTCGAAATTTGAAAACAATTTAGGCTTCGATCCATTTTATTATTTGTAGTTCATTAGAGTAAAAATTTTGTTCTGCATGTCGATCAAGCTTCTATTTCTCCTTCCCACCAAGAATAAAATGAAATCATGGTCTATGCATATGAGCTTGAGTAAAATCCATTCAAATAGATTTCTTTAATAATTTTTGGCTAGATTTGTTGTACATTTCAAAACACATTTATGAACTTAAAAGAAAGTATTAGTTTTCCTTTCAGTAGAAAACTATTCTTTTATTGCCACTCTTTGCTCGGCAACTAACTTCAATATTTGTGAGCTGCACTCTCATGAAATTTCAATACTACAACACCACAAGCTTCCTAATCCTAAAAAATTTTAAGTACATCCTAACCGATATACTTCAAAACGTTTTTTTCCCCTAAACATCTTCAACAAACAATGATTTGAAAAATTACGGAGTAGGAAGGACTGAATAAAGAGTAGTGGGGACTGAATAAATGCCCATTCCTCTTCATCGTCGGAATATTTGACTTTCGGAGCACACATTAAAATTCATCGTCATTTCGTCATGTTAGACGAGGATCCTGAAAATCACTGTTGTATTAAAAAATTTATTACCTTTATTTTCTGTTCAAGCTTACACGTCGTGAATATTCAAAGATTGGAGATGTTTGAAGTATTAGTTTTTAACAGCAATAAAATAAACTTAACGAACTATTTATACCGAAGTTTTTAAATTTCTTGACCGTGTTTTGGGTTACGAATTCAAGTGTGGCATCGCAAAGCTACATATATATGACGTGCCGGCTTCCAACGCTGAGCCTTATAATTTCCTCTTTATGTGATTTTATTATGTATTATTTTCAGGTCAACAGTTGCTTCTCTGCTCCTCAATAAACATCTCCACTTAAACGGAATGAAATCCAGCGCCATGAATGATCATCAAATTACACCGGCCGCCAATCGTAATTTGCATCCACCAACGAATGGTTCGAACATGCGATCCGATAATGCAAACGTTACTTCTGATGTGTCATCTTTAAAACCCAAGTCAGACCACCTAAGGTTGGAGGCAGCTGATGAGCCTTCAAATTATACCAGCCAGTTTAATGATACATCAAAAAATCATGATAAATCATCTCAAATAACAAGCGCGTCTCCTAACCCTTCTTGTAAGCAAGCTAGTGTAGATAACCAATCACAAGAGAGTATACGTAAGTCAGAGGATTCTAATATTTCACCAGAAAAAACAACAATGCTGCCGAGCAAGACTATAAATTCCAGTTCCGAAAGCGATGCTCCTTCCGGCGTCTCTGCAAATCCACTTGCAAGGAACGCTTCTTGTGGTCACGCTGATGGCTATGACTGCAGTCGTCCTCTCAGCCAAATGAGCAGTCCGGGCATGGACGTTCTAGGAAGAACAGCGTTTCGACCTTATCATTTTCCAGATGAATATCAGCCAAACGATACCGATGATACCAGTCCAGAGCTTCTTGACTCCCCACTATTGAAGTGCTCAAAGCTTTTGAAACTAAAGTATGATAGTTTCCCCAAGCCAAGGGGAGCCATTAAAACTACTTTATCTAACTCATCTTATAGTTACGTTCAAAGTCAGATTTCTTCGCATGTTGATAACTTATCGAGCTCGGTGCCCAACTTAACATTAGCAAGAGTTCCCCGAAAAATATCTAAGAGCACTTTCCGCAAATTGGAGGAAATGTGCGACCCTTCTCCAGAAGAGGAACAGCTTAGTGCAAAAATTGACGCTTCGGCTGATGGCTTTGCCAAATTCGACGGAAAATTTATCGAACCCTTTCAGCAGAAAGAACCTGCTGACACTTTCGATCGAGATGACAATTCGTCAATTATCTCGCGAGCAGAAACCGCTCGGAGTCAGCCATGCAAAGATTTTAGTCGAGAGTTGAATCTGGGAAGCTGCCTTGATAATCGTGCATTCCATTCCGACGGCAACATTCCATCGAGAGGGAAACCTTTCATCAGAAATCATTTTGACTTTGCTCCTCTTGTGTCTGCTGCCAATGATGCAAACGAAAACGTCAAAGTCGTCCCCACAAGTTCTGCGGTCCTCACAACGTGCACTGTGAGTTCTGCTTGTACAGCTACGACAAACTCTGGCGCTTCCACTGAAATTGCTCAGCAGCCTTTAAAAAATCGAGCTTCAAAAGCGACCGACAAGCTGGTGAAGCTGACGAAATATCAAAGGAGTCCCATGATTCTGCGAGTTGGAAGATCCTCCAGCAAAGCTGCAGCCAATGCCGACCGTCAGGTTGCGAGCGTCAAAGACAAGGTCGCATCCACTGTCAAAAAGCGGAAATTTCTCGGTGTTGGTATGCGTGTCGGCAGATCGCCAAGTCCTGTCAACGATCGAGGAGTGCGAGTGCGAGAAGAACCAGTTTTGGTCGAAGACAAGAAAAAGCAAGCAACACTTCACAAAATGAAGCGGGAAAGAAAGGTATGTACGACTGTTAAATTAATTTCCGATCTAGTTGTGCTATTTGCATTAGTAAGTCTCTCTCATTTTCTTGCATTCTACATTTTACAGCAGATGAATATTTGTTTTTGAGGCAGTTTTCTTTCAGGAAAATTCTCAATGTATTACCAGCAATCATCAAAAACACAGCATCAAATATTGCAGTGATATGAAAAATTTTAAAGTGTTTTTCATTTAGCGTCACCAAAATTTCACGACCACTCGCGCCCACATCTGCAAATCTCATTTCATGAACGTTTTTACGAATTGGCGAGAATCAAATATCTCTTGAACTCTACCCATAAAATTGTCCGGTTTTCAATCAAACTACGTCACACGCATTAAAATTTTCTCCGTCCATCCATTTGAACGACGAAGCTAAAAGTTTCTAAGTTCCTTTCTCTGCTATAGGATTGGAATCTGGCAATTTTCAGAGCCGTGCCTCAAATTGCGCAATCATCATCCCCGAGATTTGGTCGTCAATACCGGTACTGAAACTCTGCTCACACGCGACCGATCTGAGAAAATTTTTTCAGGCGAAGAGCCGAACTCGGCTCACTTAATGAAAGAAATTTTTAGGCTCACAGATTAAGAGGAAAATTTCTTATTTATACGACAAAGAAAGTTCCGGAAGAATATTCTTCACACCAGTGTTTTTATCTTTAGTTCATTTTAATTGTACTGAAATTTACTGGGCAGTAATTGATATAACTTGCTGTTTATATACGACTAATTAATTACAAAGAACTATACGTCAAGTGATACAAATTTGCTTTTTATTTCAATTAATATAAGTGAATCTGTTTTTTCCAAAGGTGGAAACAAAGAGCAAACTTTATTTGAAAAGATTTGCCAATCTGTTGTAATTTAAAAAATTGGACTAAATGATTAAGAAAAATTGCATTTTATATCGTAGCAATTCAGATCAAATCACTTTATTTAAGCATTTTTATTCGTCCTTTGTAACATATATTTGTATCTCTAATTTTATCAACTCTTGCCGGGCAAATTTCAATAAATGTCTACTCACGAGCCTTCCTGGTGCTGGGCTCTTCTTATGAATGTTGAACGAATAAAAACATCTTACATTATTTTAGGGTAATTATTTGATTTAAATTTGTAGCCGTGACGCTTAGATCATGTTGCATATAAAACTGAAGAAAATCTGTATCGTTTTATTCCAAATGACTTATATTTAGAGAGCTTTTTTGAATTCATCAGAATTTTTCCATATGAAATTTGTTAATGGAAAGAAGAAGCATCGCATCGATATCCGGGCCATGATAGGCTGACACAGCTTCTTGAAGCGTCTCTACATTAGTCAGCATGACGACGCTCCCACTAAATCGCTGCTTCTTGATGCTGGTGCATCGCTCAGGCACTATTTTTCATTATTGACATCACTTACATATAGCTCACTACTACATTTTTAAATCACTGTTACCGGCCATCGATATCAGAACTGCTTAATTAAATAATTAATTAATTTAGGTCACATTCATGGCGTTCATGAAGTGCAGGTGACACTTCTACCAATTCGCATTACGCGCCTCGATCAAAAGTTTTATCTGCTTTGTAGCCACTGCTTAAACTCAAGTTTCTTCGTTCAAACAATTGCGGAATGTAGAGCAGAAGTAGTGTGCGCTTTCGGATGAGGACCGCTGAATAAAACATTTTCATCGCTCTCGCATCCATTTCTTCTCCGAAGGTAGCTTCTATAATTTCAAAAGTAAGGAGTTGAAAATCGTATGCTCAAAACAACTTTTAAAGCTTTCTTCTCGTGTTAAGTTTTAACTTTCGAATCCTCTGTTAGGATGCCGGGTAATTTTTACACGTGGCGTTGAAGAATCCCTTAAGCGAATTATTCAATACCGACGCCCATCGTCAACGATCGCAGCTGATTCGTTATCAAGCCCCTGGAAAACGCTTGATAAACTGTCTCGTAATCTTGTGATCGGATCACAATAAATCCCGAATAAGCTTGAATGCAGGCCCAGCGGTTAGCTTTATCACAGGCCGTGAAAACAAGACTGTTTTTCTGTGCCGGAGCGGTTGCCGAAAACCTGACCGTGGCTTTGGTGAGAAGCCTGCATGGAATAATAAATAGTGGCCGACTCCATCGTTGCTCACGACGAATACAGAAACTTATTTCAAATTATTCCTAGGTTGAAAACCTATTATTCGTGTGAACTCTAGGGAAAAGTTATCATATCTAAACATATGTTGTCCAAAAACTATTCTCGTACATATAGTTTCTAGATACCTTTTGGAAAATTGTCCTCTCCATAAGCCAACCAATCCTGTTATTGACAAAAATTTAGCTTCTACCCTGGCAGCAATATATATTCGGAAATTGATGGGTGATTTTTATTTATTTATTTCTTAAACTATCAAACATGTTTAAAATGAGGTACCAAATTCTTTAGTGTGCATCGTGAATAATGTATATACCTCGTCTTTCGTAAATATCCTGCATGAAAAAATAAAAATACTCGTAATAAAAAGCCCTTCCAAATTAACTACAAATACTGCGCTCAAACTTTCCAAAAATTACTTGCTATCCGCCCACCTCAATCAACGTGTTTTTTTTCCAAGAAAGAGAACTTCGAGGCAATTCAACGCTGTTGATGCCTATTTTATATTACTCGTTTTTTTTAAAGCTGCAGCCACCCGACGTTATCTGCAGCTCCTCTGAGCCTTGTTTTGTGTCGCGTATAGAGCTCGTACCTCAGCCCTAGGGGCCTTGGAAGCAGTGATCGAGCTGCTCCCAAGTAGACCAAATGTCTGGGTGAAGCGATACCAACTTGATGCATGTCTTCCGCCCATTTCCTGACCTGTTCTACATGCCTTTTACCTCATAGGTCACAACACTGCGGCTACAGATTCGGAAGCTTTTGACTTGAAACCTCCCGTGTGGATTTAAAATCCTGCAGGTTGGACACCCGATGTTGTTTAGCAGAAGTGCATGAGTTTTTGCTAAAATATTATCTGTTTGTGCAGCGCTAACCAAAAAAAAACTTCAACTTGATTTGTCTATTCAGGCGGCCAAGACTCTTGGTATCATCGTGTCCGTGTTCCTGCTCTGCTGGCTACCATTCTTCACGTGGTACCTGCTAGCTGCGCTGTGCGGAGATCCGTGCCAAGTACCTGAACCTGTGGTCACAACTCTCTTCTGGATTGGTGAGTAGAGACAAACATTGTCATATTCTATAATTTTGATGTACTTCTTCGCTCAAAATTAATTGTTGATTTTACAAAATTTTCTCATTATTCGGAACACGCGAAGTAAATTTCAATACCCCCTAAAAATTCAGCTTAATAAAAATGTATAGATAATAGAAATCAAGTTTGTTGAAAACTCATACCAAATTACCCAAGCATATCATCATCCGATCTTTAGCACAGCTTTATTTTGGGATCGCAATTTTGAATCAACCATTGCATATTTCCTTGACAACATTTCGCAACGACGAATAAAGTAGTGAAAGCCTTCGTCACTGAAGCCAGAATCGGCTAAAAACGTTAAATTGGACCGGTTTATTGTATAAAACTGAACCAACCACTACTTTATAAAAATTAGAGTGCTTTTCTAAGCTAGCTAAATAATATGGTCCTAGCGTCAGATGCTCTTATTTCAAGAACGCAGTCCTAAAAAAAATTCACATTCTGCGAGCAGAGACATGGAGTTAGCTTGCCCACTCAGCATGGCGTGCAGGAGTTCTGTTTGCCAAGCACAAACATAAACTCCTGTTCGTATTTACAGACTGCACTTTTAAAAAGTCCGTGCAATGTATGAACACCTGACGATGCTGTTCTCTTTTTATCAAGACTGCAAGAATTTCTTCGATTTTAGAAAGAGTAAAATAAATAAGTCACACATATATGCTAATAAAGTCACACATATAAATAAGTCAAGTCAAATCTGAATAAGTAATAAAGTCACACATATATGCTAATATGCTAATAAATATTAAATTCAAATGATGGGTTTCATAACCACACCGACTTTCTACTTAAGGTGAAGATTCCATCAAAGGAGCTGAGCAACACCAGCTGCTCTGAAAGCTTGCGAAAATCTAAAATTTAAATAACAACTAAGTTACTATTCAGGAGAGCCAAGCAATGTTATTTAGGTTTGAAAAATCATCCATTAAATTTTTGGCTCAACATTTAGCACCCAAATGAAAATCAATTTAGTAAGTCATATACCAATAATTTAAACAAACATCGATGCATGACTTTAATATTTTCTGCAGGAAAGCAGCATGATTTTAGTGTTGTAATCTAAGTTCAAAATATTGTTCAGAATATCCCTTGAATCTAGGGTGAACTTTTATACATTATCACGTTTTATTCCGATAATATGATTTGCCGTTGATCTGTCCTGAATAATTCAGGACCAACCAATAAAAATCGAGAAGCTTGGGCAATAGATATTGCCTTTTATACTACGTCCTTCAGTTTTAATATCAGGCGAATAGACTTTCCTAACCGAAATGGAATTTTGATGACATTTCCTATAAAAGTCCTCTGCATATTTATAGCACAAGATCAGAGCTTGGTTAGGCTGCGCTATTTTGACGTTCATTTGAGACTGGCAAGGCGAGTCTCACCGAGCCAATAACGCTCGGGCCAAATGCATTCCCGAATATTTTTTCCTTCTCATCAGTAAAGCTTCAGATTCTTCCAATATCGGAGCTTCAGACAATTCTGTTCACCAAGCGCGATCAAATTTCGCTGAATTTTTCAACGCAGTGGTTATTAATTATCGAGAGGTCTAATGCTCTGAATTGTATATACCAGGAATGATTTTTACAACCTTCATACGAGCGTAGGGATGAAGAACGGTTCAACACCTTTTGTGTGGAAAATGTTCTGAATTCAGTTGCAGCATGAGTCAGTTATATTGTTTGAAGTTATTGTTGAGAAATATTACACAACGATACGAAAAAATAACCTTATTGAGCTGAACTGGCAATTATATAATATAAAGATATCAAACTAAAAAACAATATAGCATTAACTAACTCATTAACAAGCCTGAGAAACAGTCTCTAGTATCTAAACTTATGAAAAGCATGATTTTCTACTTGAACGAATTTCTACAAATTTGTTCTACTTGAACAAATTTCAATCAATCTGCGGTGAATGAGAAAATATGTTCTCCATCAGCTGACTAAAAAATTTAGATACATTTCTGCACTAATTTTCTTGATACTTCACTTGGATTGAAAATGCTCTTCAAATCATTCATCTTCATCCATTCCACTCGAACTTATAAACTTCTGGAGTGGAATTGAAGCGAAGAAAATCAATTTCTTTGAACTCTCACGCAACAGACGTTGTAGAGGCTTCAAAATTTCCCTCGCGTTTCTTCTGTTTCCACCCCTGCACTTGGCACTCCAACAACTGCTGCTACTCCATATTTTTCATATCCATCACATAAAACTTTTATTTATTGCCCCCATAGTTCTTATGTTATAATAAATGTGAGTAACTGTATTTTTTTGTACTTATTTAGAAGGAAATATTATTCCGCGAATTGTTTCGTTTCTCCATGAATATGAATTTACTAACGAAATTAATTAGCGAAACTAATGTTTATATTCACCAAGCAATGTAATTTATGATAAATGTTTTGGGAACAACTCTTGTAATAATTGATCGGAACTGTGCCCTTAATAATTTCATAAATATGTTTATGATTGACTTGTATATATATAAAAATTTCAAAACATTTTAAACCCATAAAATTGCACTGAATTTCAATAAATGTGTTATTTTTTGCCGATTATGCACCTCTGTATGGCGTGGAACAAATTCTTAATTGGCACCACTTTTACATATGGAAATGCCGAGTACATAAAACCGAGCTCGAAACAAATTAATAGCAACATATGCTCAACTAACTTTAACTATATACGTTGATTTTTAGCCTCGATCTATTTCTACTTTGCAGGGTACTTCAACTCAACCTTGAACCCAATCATCTACGCTTACTTCAACCGCGACTTCCGTAAGGCTTTCCGTAAGACCCTGAAGCATTACTACGCCGTGTGCGGCGTACGCTGGTTATGTCGCAGCGTGCGCCGTGTAATCAAGTGCCCAACGTGTTGCTTGTGTTGTCCGTGTTGCACGAGGTTGTGCTCGTGTTGTGCTCCGTGTTGTCCGTGTTGTTGCAGCCAAAAGTCTGCAAATGATACGGTATCTTCTGACGCCGGCCTCCGATCTGCAGTGAGCTCTGAATACATCCATATCGAAATGACCGCCGTCGAACATAAGATGTAGTTATTTTTTGGGAAAAGTTAATAAACAAGAACTGCCATTAAAAATATTCCACACAAACATGGTATCAAATGAAATGACCAGGAGGTGGTCGATCATGAGCCAGAATATTACGAGACCAGAAAAAATTTATTGGCAATTTTCCCCTTTCAGTTCACGAATATTTTGGTGAACTGGAAATATATATAATATTTTCTGCGCCACTAGCTTTTGATTAAATTTCACGAAAAAATTTTTTCGAAATTATTCCTAGTTGATATACTAAGATTTTGATTTTGAAAATCTAGAATTACACTGATTTAGATGCTAGAATCTTATATAAATGAAATAATTAACAGCAGCTCTTACATGAGAAGCTTCCGAGAATTGTTAAGCGTCGTGCCATGTGTCGTACTTTAATCTCAAGGCAAGCAGGGTTGATTTTTAGTATTAATAATAATACAGTAATGCTTATTAGAATAGTTGTGCCAGCTGCTCGGACACATTCATTTGAACAGTGTGTCTAATCTGAATGTGATCCGTGTAAAGAGATGTACTTGATTCATTTCAAGCAAGAAGGCGAGAGATTGCAATTAAGCTGTGAAACGGAGTATATGAACTCCGTACGATTGATCTCCGAAAAATGGCTGTTATCCAAAGTGTCTGGAAGTCAATGTTTGATTTCATTTGAACAGTTTGTCTAATGTGAATGTGATCCATGTAAAGAGATGTACTTAATTCATTTCAAGCAAGAAGGCGAGTGAAAGATTGCAATTAAGCTGTGAAAACGGAGTGTATGAACTCCGTACGATTGATCTCCGAAAAATGGCTGTTATCCAAAGTGTCTGGAAGTCAATGTTTGATTTTGAATAATATTATTTACAATGGACACTGCCGTTCTTATTAGGATGTCATAATTAACTTTATGTTTTACTTCATTCAAATTAACGGCTTTGAATGATTAATTATTTATGCCATGACAAATACTTTTCAACAATGATTTTGTTCGCCTCATTGTAGTATTTGATTTCTTCCACCCTCCAAACGTCATTTACAGTATTTGCCTTTGTCACTTTTAATAAGTTTGTGCCGTACATCCTGTCATTTATTTCGATTTACTTCCACTTAATACATTATTTATTCTTTCATTCCTCAAGTTTACGATCAAAAACGTTATTTCAACAATAATTCTGCATGAGTGAGTCTTATCATAACACACTTTTTTTTAGATTACATTTTCTCTGAAAGAACGATTGGTAGACAGGGAAATATTTCCGGATACTTTTTTAGTTGTTTTAGAAAGGCAGAACCGATGAAAAACAAGTGAAACTTTTTCACTAAAGCCTATACAACTAATATTATTTATTCATCAAAGGCTGAAGAAGACATTAATTTTAGCAAGTTAAACGGTACATCCTCTTGACGAGCATTAATATCTTCATTTAATAAGCTATTGCTTAACAAAGAAAACTTTAAACTCTGTAATTTTTGTACATTTTCACTCTAACCACTTCGAGTTCGGAACCTAAGCCTCCTACAATTACATCCGCAATGATGTAATTGTTTGATTTAGCTATTATAAAGATGTAATAGCTACAATTACGTCGCATCCTTAATTATTATTTAAGGCACGTACCAAATTGCAGATAGCAATAGCCTTTATTCAGATTTTAGACCACTACACTTCAAATTTTCTTGACATTCCGCACTTTAAATGAACGAATACTGACAACTGTTTGAGTTCACATGTAAGACTGACCGCGCGATATGAAAAAAATTACCGGGCAATTTTTAATATCAGATACGTATAACTATAATAATATTTCGTTTTTTTAACAATTCGAATCGCGTTAGCAATACGAATTGCTCTTACTCATTTTCATTTGTTAGTAGCATTTTATCATATTATGCCACCATACCAAGGATTAATAATTCTGACAGTAATTAATTTGTTCTTCTAATTTCACAAAATTTAATATGCAAATATAACGATTAAAATAGTTAATTTTCCATACTCTACAATTTATAATCAATTAGATAAGCTGTCGAATTCATCTATTAACTGTTTTTACTTAAAAATTTATTCACGGGCTTCTATCATTGCATTTGTATTTATCCCAAGATTTTTGCAGCCGTTGTCAGAGTAGGTACAAGTTCTAGGCCGTGGACGCTGGAAGAATCTAATCTCACCCAACTTCAAGACCCAACGTGACGCAACGGGGTCTTCTCCATTTTTTTTATTCTTTTTAATCATCAGTATCATGAAGTTTGTTCAAATATAATTATTATTTTGGTCACGAGATCGAAGAGGGACGAAATACGTACAGCATGTGCTTTGCAAATACTGGAATAAGCGTTGGAGAAGGTATTTTAAACTTAATTCGCAAATTAATTATATACCTGTAGACATATATGTATTGTACGATAGCTTCAGATGTTCCTCAACTCCATCGTCTAGATGAGCAACTTTCACTGGCGTGCACTGTATATATGCGAGTAAAAAACAAATATAAATTTTCCATAATAATTTAGACGACCAAAGAGCAATGCAACAAGCTTGGCCTGTTGAAACAACGATATCGGTGAAGGTAAAATTGATAAATATTTGTTACTATGAAAATATTTACGTATCAAAAATTTTTCCTACCGGACAGATTTTTCTAGCAAATTTGGTCCTAAATAGTTCAAGCCAGCTATTTTTATAAAAATTTTGTTCAAACGACTAAATATTTACGGAGTGACCAATCACCAATAAAATTATCAAGGATATGACTTGCATTTCCAAATGAGAAAAGACATGAGTGTTGAGTTGTAAATTATTAAATTGAATTATGAAGGCAATCACAGAAACGTTTCCATTCTGCTAAATGGTATGTAGAATACTTATAATAAGTGAAGTTATCCCATGCTTAACCTACACGATTAGAGGTTCATAGAAATTACATCTGTTTTAAGGAATATGTTATAATATTAATAAACCAGATAATATTGATTAATGTTATAATATTTATCGAAATGTTATCTGCATTACATACGCAAAGTTCTAAATGCTCTAGTCTTAAGGAGAGAACTTGTTTGTCAGATGATATCCTGTGAATAATTGAAAATAATTTTGTTTCTGATTAGACTCTTACTTCATGCTTTAACTTATGCAAATTACATCATAATTCAAAGCAAAATGACTAGTCCATATTTTTTTGTGTTAGTAGCCACGGCACTTAACTACTTAAATTATTAATTACGGCTGCTATAGATAATAATTATTGGATTTATAAATCTTCTTTCTTCTGAAAGTCAACACATTAAGCGGTAAATGATTTTTATATTACACTTCAACGATTCTTAGATATTGTAGTGGATAATTATTATTATTATTTTTATTATCATTATTATTATTTTTATTATTATTATTATTATTATTATTATTAAGGAATTGTTCGACGCTTGATGAAAATCAATAATCGTTAAATAACAAGATATCCACCTGATTGTAATGTGTTTTACATTCTCAGTGAGATCTACAGTATATATAATATGGAGAAAGATTATTTACGAGTTTTAGCAAGCAAATTCGAAGATTTAATATTCTATGATTAAGTTTAGAAAATTATTCAGTTATGAGACACCATTTTATGAATTTCCTGTTACAATTCTCGTTTTGAGGAGTGACCACTTATCATTCAATTCAGAGCGTTCAATTCAGTCTAATCAATCAAGGATAGAGCACAGAGCGTTCAATTCAGACGAATCAATAAAGTATAGAACACTTATCCTTCAATTCAGACGAATCAATCAAGTATAGAACACTTATCCTTCAATTCAGACGAATCAATCAAGTATAGAACACTTATCCTTCAATTCAGACGAATCAATCAAGTATAGAACACTTATCCTTCAATTCAGACGAATCAATCAAGTATAGAACACTTATCCTTCAATTCAGACGAATCAATCAAGTATAGAACACTTATCCTTCAATTCAGACGAATCAATCAAGTATAGAACACTTATCCTTCAATTCAGACGAATCAATCAAGTATAGAACACTTATCCTTCAATTCAGACGAATCAATCAAGTATAGAACACTTATCCTTCAATTCAGAACAATCAGTCGAGGATAGAACACAGAGCGACGGAATATTCAGGGAGACGGTTTCTTCCCGAGTTCTCTGTTCTATCAAAAACTATGGAACAAGATTTCAGAAGATTCTTTCATGTAAATAATTGTCGTGTAGGTAAATTAATTATAAACGTGCATCTTCCCGCAAGGACATCGTTGTATATTATCCTAGGATAAGGTGAGGGTTGAATAAATTTGTTATAATTTTTTTTCAATTTGTCTTCTTTACAGAAATTTTAATTTTGATATTTTGACTATTTTACATATTTGCAATTTTTTAAAACGAAAATTCAGAGGTTGTGTGCAAATAAATCATTGCTCCGAATTGTTTTTAAATTGAGATTATCTTTAGGCTAAGATCGTAATTGCATATCAAAACCACTTCTGCTCCCATCACGAATAAAATTTTCACTTCAGTTTAAAGGGAATTGAAGTTTCCCGAGAAACGTGTAAATAATGAGTAATCTTACTTTAGATCAGAGGCTCAATATTACAAAGAACAAGCTATAATATTTTACATGTGTGAAATTGAGCAAATATGTGTAATATGTGATAACAAGTTGTACTAAATGTAAGGATTAGTTCGATGTTACCGCCACTTAGTAAACACAGTTTAATTATTAACAGCATCAAAAATGAATCAATCCTTCAAATTCCAACATACATTTCAGAGATGTCCGTTCGACAAGATAAATGTTGCTGATCTTACGTCAGATCAAAAACTAATTACATTTTCATTCATAATAAACGCTGGCAACACAGCCGTGTACTAGTTGAGCTCGGATGAACAAAAGAATTATTTTCCGAAATCTGCCGCTTATTGCACTGCAAAAATGCAACAAAGTTTAAAAATCTTATGGTTAGTTATTAACTAACCTAGAAGACACACTGGATTGACGTAAACGAATGATATTATCGTCCAAGCAACCGGACATATTAATTACACTTACCCCTCAATTCAATCGTTACGGCTGCTTTTAAAATATAAACGATCAATGGGTAGGAAATTTATGTATAATAAATGTTTCTATGTAAATGAATTGTTTAATTTGCCTTGATTCATTTCTCACAATATTCATCGTATGATATATTTATCGTGTGTCACAATTCATGGCATAT